CCTTCCGGTTTTGTTAAGTATCCTAGTATGACCATGGATATATTAGTACAGACGCCAAAAGGTAGTTCACCTTTATTCAACTCTATTTTGTCTAAAGCTTATGAAATTTTGTTTATCTCTCTAAATATTTTAAATTTAAGAAAGGGTTTACTTAATTCTTGTCAGATGTCAGTAACTATAGTTAAATTGATTTATTAGCACTAGTAACAGGATGATGATAAAGAACTACGCACGCAAATACTCGATTCTTGCCTACATTTTATCCCAATCTTATTAAGTACAAATGGCATTTTGGTCATTAAAACTTTTTTGAGTGCAAGAAAATAGTTCATAAGTAAGTCATTTATAATTTTAAAACCAACGTCAAAAAATTACTTTTTTTTTTACAACTTTATAAGTGGGGTAAAGAATTTTATTCATTGCAACCAGGCTTTTAAACATAATCAAAATTTCAAATATGAACGGAAATTGATAAATGAACCTTAAATCTTTCCGTATGTTTAAATTATTAGGTCACCTGAGTTTACTCAGGTGACCTATTGCTATCTCTTTTCGTCCATCGTTGTTTATCGTCCGTCGTGTGTTAACATTCGTACATTTTCAGCTTCTGCTCTGGAACCACTGAACCAATTTCAACCAATTTTGGCATATAGCATCTATGAGTAAAAAAAAAACATAAATAGTGAAATTCATGGCGCCTGTCCCCCCCTGGGACCTGAGGAATGGGGTTAAAACCATAAAAATCAATACAATATTTAAAGATTATCTTCTTTACTCCTGAACAACAAGCAGTCTTGGCATAATAATATGCATTGAGCCCTCTACCATAATTGTGAAATTTATGGTCCCAGGGTCAAAGATTCTGAAACTAGGGCGGGGCTCTGTTGAATATATAGTGAATATGCATTATTTCTTAAAAATCTTCTCTTCTGTTCCTGAGTATTAAGCAAACAAACAATATGCATAGTTATGATGAGGAAAGGTGCCCCCTCCAAAATTATGAATTTCATGTCCCATGGGTCAGGGGTATTGGCGTTAGGGTGGGGCTCTAATGATTATATAGTGAAAATAATTAATTTTTAAATTCTTTAAAAATCTTCTCCTCTGTTCCTGGGTATTAAGCCGAAGAACTAAGTGCATAGTTATGATGAGGAGAGGTTATTCTTCCGAAATTGTAAATTACATTGCCCCTGGGTCATGGCTTCTGGTGCTAGGGCGGGACTCTAATGATTATTATATAGTGAAAATGCATTAATTCTTTGAAAATCTTCTCTGCTCCTGGGTATTAAGCCGATGAACTAAGTTCATAGTTATGATGAGGAAGAATACCTCTTCCAAAATTGTGCCGCCGAATTTGGCTGAAATATTGCCGACTCAGCGTAAAACAACATTAATCAATCAATCAATCCAAAATTTTGAATTTCATGGCCCCAGGGTCAGGGGTTATGATTTTAGGGTGGGGCTCTAATGATTATATATTGTGAAAATGCTTTAATTCTTTAAAAATCTTCTCCTCTGTTCTTGGCATTAAGCAGATGAACTAAGTACATAGTTATGATGAGAAAAGGAGCTTCTTCCAAAATTGTGAATTTCATTGCCCAAGGGTCAGGGGTTCTGAAGTAAGGGCAGAGCTCTAATGATTATATAGTGAGAATGCATTAAATTCTTTTAAAATCTTCTCCTCTGCTCCTGGATATTAAGCGGATGAACTAAGTGCATAGTTATGACGAGGAAGAGTGCCTCTACCAAAATTTTGAATTTCATGGCCCCTGGGTCAGGGGTTCTGGTGCTTTGGTGGGACTCTATTTATTTACTAGTAAAATGCATAATGCTTTGAAAAATCTTTCTCTCTGTCTCTGAGTTCTTAATAGCAAACAAACTAAATTCAATAATATCAATGTTGAACTTCGGTATTTCGAACACGGATATCTCGAATACCATGGATATGTCGAAGTGATTTTGAAGTCCCAACCCCTTATTCCTTAAGTATTTTAATGTACATAACTTTAATTAGACCACTACTTGAATATTGTACTGTAGTTTGGGATGGATGTTCTCTACAAGGTGTTGAAAAATTAGAAAAGGTGCAGCTTTATGCTGCGAGAATAATTACAGGGTTACCCATTATAGCTTCAAGAGATGCATTATATTTAGAAACAGGATGGGAACCTCTCGCAGAGAGGCGTAAAGTAGGAAAACTAAATACCATGTTTAAAGTACATCACAGTTTGGTAACTGATTATTTAAAAAGTATTTTTCCCTCAATAAGGAGTGTTGAATCAAATTACAACACACGTAATCGAGATGACTACACTATTCCTAGATGCAGACTCGAAATATTTAAGAAATCTTTTGTTCCTGATACAGTAAACCAATGGAATAGTTTAAGTATTACCACAAGAAACAGCTCAACTTTTAGTAGTTTTAAAAACAATATACATAAAAAACCAGCAGACCCCCCTCATTATTTCTGTTATGGTAACAGACGACTTAATATCATACATACTAAACTAGGACACAACTGTATTTTAGATTATGATCTTTATAAAAGAAACATTATTGAGAGTCCTAATTGTTCGTGTGGTACTCCAGAAGACCCATATCATTTCTTCTTTGTATGTAAAAAGGTTCAACGTGCTAGAGAGGAACTATTTAGAAACCTACTGTGTCTTACTAAACCAAACACTAAATTGAATATTATTGATTGTTTCCTACTTCTGTGGGGAGATGAGTCACAAAATGTTGAAATCAATAAATATATTTTTCAATCTGTACAAAAATTTATAAGAGATTCTGGCAGATTCAATTAATTATTACAGTCTTACACTAAAACTCTAGTTACTTATATATTTATCATGTAATGAATGTACGTTTAAAACAAACAAATTTGTATATCAATATTCTATATATAGACCTTGACAGTTGTAGCCATTTATGGTGAGAACCTTGTAAGTTGTTAGAACTTTTGTTCAAACCATTTGTATATTATTTATACAATAAAATATGTTCAAACCAAGTATTTAACTCTGGATATCTCGAATCCTTTGATATCTCGAGGTTTTTTGTCGGTCCCATTGAGTTCGAGATAACGAGGTTTGACTGTATATTAAATATTACTTTAAGTAAATGTGCCTTTTCTTTGGTCTTGAATATCTAGGAGGCAAACAGAATACACAATTGTAATAAGTGAAGCATATGAGAGTTACTCCCCTTTGCTATATTGTATTAATCAAGAAATCATTGTATATAATTTAATAAACAGTCTATTTGATTGAAAGAGAATACAAGAAAGAATGTTATACATGTATATGTTTGGTTTAAATGAGCAAAGCGTGGTCAAAGTCAGATTCTTGCCCGAAAAGCAATATAGAAGATTGACATAAAGATATACTTAGCAAAATTTGAAATTGTAGATAGTTTGTTAACACTGTGGTGATCTATTTGACATTTTATGAGTTATTATCAGGTAAAGTCAAGCTGACAAGAGACTGGATAAAGTTGTTTTATACTTTATCAAAGCGAACAAAGAATCATAGAGAGCCTGGTTGACTTGTAATTCGTGACAAGTGGCAAATAGCAACGTTATACAATGTAAAGCCAAGTCTCTGTGTACTGAATTGTACATGTAGCACTAGGCAAGTGACATATATTGAATACCTTACACAATAGGCAAATGTTCATTGTATTGTATTTTTATGCATTCATTATCATCCCTCTAAGGCTTGAGAAAACAAGCATTATCCCAAGGAGATCAGTTGGGTCAGGCACGCTACAATAAGCAATGGTATTTTTATCGGATTTTTGAAATTCTTGGGCAACATTTGTCTATCATTTAATTTTGTTTTATACTTCTATGGATCCTTTACAGTGTTGTATTAGACTCAGGTGACTGATAAAGTCCTTGGGCCTCTTGTGTAAAATTCAAATTATAAGATTGATAAATTACATTTTTTAAATTTACTATCTCATTAAAAATTGGTTATAAAATGACCATTTTTACTGCTTTTCGTCTGTAAAGATATGTCCTCCCCGTTAAACACAAAAAGCTTTGGTGTGAATTTGTGTCCATATTATCTGTAAAAAAAAATGTTGTTTCAAGGGGGGGGGGGGGGGTAAAAACATTTTCCGTTGATTTCTATGGTGAAAAACACAAGTTTTACCAACATTATAAAGTTATCTCTCTTTGTTATCCCAAATAAATATTTTTTAAGAAAATTCCTATAAATATCTATTTAAATATGAAAAATCAGTCAAATGCGTTAACTTTTGAAAATTGACTTAGAGGTAGACGAGAGAACAATACTATTGTTCGCAGTTCTTTAGATTGTCCCTTGTATATTACATATTTTTTTCTTCAAATCAGTTCTACATAATTTTTCAAAATCATGTTGGTAGCTTTTTTGTTTTTTTTATCGAAAAATATTTTGGTATCTCTCTTCTAGTTTCATTTACCTTTTGTTTATCGCGATTGCTTTATATTTTTTATTAGGAACACGTTCCTAAATAAGGAGCTCGATTCCTGTTAATAATTGAAAAATTCGTTTAAGAGTAGGGATTTTAGAAATAAATCTAGTCACTGGGTAGAATCTGAATTCCAGAAAATTTCAACTCACACTTTTTTTCTTGTTCATATAATCTTTCACCTCTTCGGTATCGAATGTTCACTTGTAAATGATTCTAAATCAAAAAGAAAAGAAGAAGAATATTAACATAAACAGCGCTTTTGGTATTGAGTTGTTGTATCTCATTTGTATTCTTTTACTTATTGTATTCTAAAGACTCAATCGTATTTCTTTCATTTGTCAATTTCAACTTACTATGACATAAACTAACTTCTTATGGCAGATTTCAATTATTAATGAAAGAAAAAGGGAAACAGTTATTTGCCTTAAAATATTGTTTTCTTACAAATTTAAATTTACAGCATAATACATGTATGTTGATATATTTATCTTTTCATCTGTGAGAGATTCAAGAAGGAAAATACCAAATAAAACACTATGACTAAGAAAGGAAATATGAACGAAGATTATGTAAGTACCACTTTTAAATGTTTTAATAAGTATGAGAATAAAAGGAAACAACAAGCACATAAGTGGACAAACAAACATAAAAGAATTGAAAAATACACATATCTTAATGACATATTTAACACAATATTTTTTTATTTATTAACCCATAACTTTCTTTTACGCATTTTCCTCTCATTCATCAATTTAAAAATATTTTAGGATATCTGTGTAATAATGCACAATCCATTTACTGTAAATCACCTTTTATTCGCGAAAACTTTATTTTTGCGCAACTACGCGAGACTGCCTGCTCGCACAAATCCAATTCTCACGTATATTTATTGTTATAAAAGTAATGTAGAACAAATATCAAACTTTGTGAAAATTATGTCTCGCTAATAAATACCAAATCACCATTCTCGAAAATAAGATGTCGCGTAAATTCGGTGATGTACATTAAATGTCTATTCTCCCTGTTTTACAATAGGTTGAAATCCAAGATGAATATCCGTGTCCAGTGTTTATAACCTTTGAAAACAGACCATATAGGCCGTATGAATCTCTGGTAAGTTTTTCAGTGTGTAATGTCTTTTATGTGTATCACTTTTTTGACTTGTGTTACTTCAAAAACCCAGCATTTCTCATCATACTCCTAGCTCCAGAATTGAAAAAAGCAATCTATATATTCAATGCAATATAATTATCAAATGTATGTTTGGGAATAAAAAAAAAACAATGAACAACAATAAGTACACTGTTGAGAATTATTGGATACAGTAAAAGTTATTACTGTATTAAGATCTGCAAAACAATATTTTCTTCTTCCACATATTATTTGTTTGTTCCCAAACGTTAAACACGAAGGGCATCTGGGGGGTTTTTATAAACGGATGAATACTTTATATAATGAACAATCTCAGTTTCTGTATAATTAGTTTATTTCATGACTATGAATTACAGTGTCATGATGATATCATGATGATTTAATAAAAAAGAGGAAATAAACTACACTTAGGGTTATCCTTGACATTCCTGTAAACATAACATTCATCATAAAATGTGCTGTATGAAAAAATTAATTCATTACAAATTGTATCGGTAACGATCCTTTAATAAAACTAATGTCCAAATAACTGTATCTCTCTTCCATTCTAAATGACCGTGTAGTGTAGGACAGCGCCGCGAGAATTCCATCGGCATCGAAAGCCAGTTTTATTTTGACTTGCCTAGATGGCCGCGCTGTTCCTGTACTGCTAGAAGACAGATTCCGTAGGTCGAGAGTTCAACCCTGGGCTGGGGCGGAAGTGGGTATCCTTATAAACGTGATTTCTTTGTGCTTTCCATAGTAATATTTCTTTACTTAGAGCAGTTATGTTAGTTTAAGAGTTGTTGTAAAATGTGTTGTATAAAAAAAAATCATTACAATGAGTATCGGTAACGTTCCTCTAATAAAACTAATGTCTAAATAACTGTATCTGTCTTCCATTTTCGATGACCATGTACGAGGGTTGTCCCAGAAAAACGCGAATATTTTCAATATTTTTCGTTTCACTTATATTAGAAAGTTAAAAATTGGCATACACCCTAATCAACATTTTTTACATAATTCGCAGAAATTTCAATAAAATATCTCTTTAAATAAGATTTTTCCCTCTGATAAACAAATCATTCAAAATAGCTCCCTGCGCAACACCGACGACGTCAAAATGAAGCTCGTGGAATTTTTTAATTTGTCTAGGAATCGTTCGAAGCAGAAATTCGATACTGTATTTGATTTTCTTTTAGTATCCGAATTATCCATTTCATACGTACTACAGTTAAGAATAAATCAAGGTTTGTTTTTTTTTAAATAGGCAATTCTACAACCCCGATCATAAACTTAACTACGCTCATAGTTAACGGCGGTCTCCATGATGTCCAGCTCTAGACTTTTCAGTTTGTCGTCATTTTTGTTGGTCTACCAAACGCTCCTTCAATCGGATAACCAGTCCATCCTTTAACCTCTTTTTCTATGTATAATCCAGTATTTGATACATGTACATGTATTTGTGTCATTCCTTCGTTCCCGCTCTTGGCCGCGACAGACCTAATTCGATAAAAAATAGGTAGCAACTGTTCCTTCGCCATGCGCTCGGCACTTTGAAGTAAAAGTTGCTCCTTCGGATGAGACCTTAAAAACCGAGGCCCCGTGTCACGGCAGGCGTTGGCACGATAAAGATCCCTCACTGCTCAATGGCCCTGAGTGCCGAGTAAAGGTCAAAATTTGAAGCCCTTCACCGGTATATGGTGACGTCTCTATATGAGTGAAAAATTCTCGAATGGGACGTAAAACAATATACAATATACAATCAATCGTTCCAGCTCATTTTCCGTATAAACAGGAGTCATACCCCGCTCCACACTGTACTGATTGATAATTTGGTGAGCTGCGTTATTGTCCGACGTCGCCGTTTTTGACAATATCTAACTAATAGTGTTTGGTCATATAACGTCATATTTTTGTCATTTATTAAGTCAAATTGATCTTCTTCTTTTTTTTAAACACGAGTACTCTAGATCGCACAGTTTCTATGGATGTAATTTTGTCACATTATATTTCCGTATAGCCTTGTAATGAAGAAAAATTAGATGACAATGCTAATATTTAAAGACAAGAAATTGCCGTGCGCTGACCCCCGATTTTTAAAATACTTTAAATGCTGTTTCTAAATGCATATGACGTTCCAACCTTTTAGTATTTGGTCAAAATGACGAAAATATCATTTTCCAACATTGTGCCAAAAATGAAAAATTTTGGTCAGGTAGTTTATGAAATATTTAAAAAGTTTGCGTTTTTCTGGGACAACCCTCGTAGTGTAGGGCAGCGCCGCGAGAATTCCATCGGCATCGAAAGCAAGTTTTATTTTGACTTGCCTAGATGGCCAAGCGATCTACCTCGCTGTTCCTGTACTGCTAGGAGACAGAATCCGTAGGTCGAGAGTTCAACCCCGGGCTGGGGCGGAGTGGGTATCCTTATAAAAGTGAATTTCTTTGTGCTTTCTATATTAATATTTCTTCGTTTAGGGCAGTTATATATATATGAATATGCACTGCATGAATATTTATTCATGAAAAATTAATATTTATTGAAAGAAATACACAATAAATAAGTCGGTTTAAAGGATACAAAGGCATTCTAAAGGAAGATAAAATTGAAACATGTATATGTTTATTTATTCTCTTCTGTAGTATGTACCATTAACAACATGCTTTGGTGAAATCACTGTTTTGAAGTAAACTGTTGAAAACTTTTGCCCATATAATGTGTTGTTTTATTGTTTTAGTAAGATTTCAACAGTGTTAGATATTTTTTTTTAAATAAGCTATGCTCATGAATATGCATCATGCTGAAACATACTCATAATATTAAGCATATTAGTGAACTCCATAACCGTCTTCGATTTTATATCCCTTCTTTTTTGCCGTTGCCTATGAACCTTGCCAAGTTATTAGTACGAGGGTTGTCCCAGAAATACGCGAACATTTGCAATATCTTTTGTTTCACTAACACTATAAAGTTAAAAATTGCCATACATCATAATCAAAAATGTTTGAATAATGCATATAAATTTCAATGAAATATCTCCGTAAATAACATTTTTCTTTCAGGTAAACGAATCTTATAAACTAGTTGTCGGCGTAACACTGACGACGTCAAAACGTAGCTCGTGGCGTTTGTAAATGTTCTGGAAATGTGCTTCTGGCAAAATTCGTTTAAGCATAAATTTGGCACTGTATTTAATTTTCTTTTATTTATTTTCAAATACTAGTGTTGCCAGAAGATTGCGGAATTAATTCTTTTAATAGACAATTTCTCAATGCCGATAATAAACCTAACAGTTTAACGGTTAATTGTTTAACGGCGGCCTTCCCTTAGGCCTATGACGTCCAGCTCCTGACTTTCAGTTTTCATTTTTGTTGGTCTACAAAACGCCTCTTCTATCGGATAACCAGTTAAGTCATCCTCAAACCTCTTTAACTGGGGATAAACCTGTGTCCGAGATTTATATTTCTGTTTTTCCATCGTTAACATCTCTTTATCGTATGGATAGGAGTCATATCCCGCTCAACACAGTACTGCTTAATAATTTCGTGCTCCGCATTATCGCCAAACGTCACCATTTTTGACAATATCTTATTAAAAGTGTTTTGGCATATAACGTCATATATTTGTCATTAATGTTGTCAAATTAATGAATTTTTATATACGAGTACACCAGATCAAAGAGTATTTATGGAGGTAAATTTTGTGACATTATATTTCCGTATAGCCTGGTAATAAAGAAAACTTCATTGACAATGCTACTTTTAAAAGTCAAAAATTGCCGTGCGCCGACCACCGATATTTAACACACTTTAAATCCTGTTTTATATACTTATGACATCACAAGCCTAAAATATTTCGTCAACATACCGCAAATATATTTTTCTAACATCGTGCAATTTTTTTTTAGTTTTGGTCAAATAGTTTCTGAAATATTCAAAAAAGTTCGCGTTTTCTGGGACAACCCTCCTATTGCAAAGATCGAAGATGTTCCTCGATGTATTTTTGTGAAGTGAATGTCAAGTCTTAATCTGTTGTGGCACTAATATTTCTTCTGAGTCTCAAATAATTCAAACTGTATGACTTTGTTTGATAAATTGGATGGGTATACAATATATGAAAGATAATGATATACAAAGAAAAGGGAAACAATTATGCAGAAAACGAGCCTGGTCCTCCACATAACCTGATGGAGTCTTTTCCATCCCGTATAAAACCTAGATAAGCATGTAGGCCAAAAACATAACATTTCTTAAGCTTCTTTGGTGTAGGTTATATGAAGTTCACTTAGATGTAATTGAAAGTTCTTTCTTTAAAGGAATGGAGAGAGGACGGGAGATATGAACGGGTAAGAATAATACAAGATAGTAAATTTTTAAATAACTTCTTCATTAACTGCTTTTGCAGAATATTTTTTTTAAAATGTAAAAAAAAACATCATGTACTAGTTCTAACAGGTTGGATGTTAGTGTAAAGTTTGCTTAATATTAATACATGTATGTCATTTGAAATCAAAAGAATTTTGATAATTCTTGAAATTTAGCAACCTATTTTTTGTAGTTTTTATACATTTTACTTTATATATACCTTTGTCGATTTAAAGCTCCAGAAATACCCCGCAAAATCAAACCAAAAGGAGAAGAAAGAGGTTGGCGATGAAACTAATAAACCTCAAAAATCAAGGGTTCCTATCAAAACATGCATTGCAGTTATCGTCAGTGTTATTCTGATCTGTGGTTTTGTTACGATGGCATCATTATTTGCTGTTAAGCTCAATAACAATGGTGAGTTATATTATATATATATTTTTTTTTTTTTACATTTTATAAGTTTTGATTGATTGATTGATTTATTCATTTATTTGAAAACTTCCCATCTACATTTAAAGCACTATTAATAAAAGCAAGAAATCGCTGTTTAAGAGACCTGCAAATTAAGTGTTTATTTACAAGCTTTCAATACGCCTATCAGGTGATGTAATCAAACAAACAACATTATCATCAACTGTCCTTCTGTGAAATAACAATCTTCTACTACATTAGTATATATATATATTTTTGTTAAAAAGCCTTATTTCATTTTTTTGGATAATTTTTAAAAGTAAATAAATTATTTTAATTTCATTTGTTTTTAGTAGAGAAAATCATAGCTTTACCAATTTTCTTTTTAAAAAAATGTACAAGCAGTGTTCAAGAATATACGTAGTTCACCAAACTGGACAAATTTGAGAGAAATCGTTCTCACAAGATTAACATAGTCAACATGGCATAACAATCTACGAGTTATTTCTCTTAAAATAGTGTAATATTTTGCGAAAAGTCACTCCGATTTTCTATTTTATTAAATATCGACTTTTTAATGTCCACCACCAAAAAAATTATCAAAAGAGTTAATATTATTAATAAATAAATTTTCTTGCTTATGTCTTCGTGTTATAGGGAACAATGCACGAGAGGATCAGAAAAGAATCATCGGTGAGTTCTTTCTTTGACGTGTCTATCATTTTGAAAGAACGAGAGTCTCTTTATGTAGAGTAAATAAGTAGAAATTTACTTTTTACTTGTCCCGTATTATGAATACGTGTTCCATGTTTGTTTCTTTAAAATGTTGAACTATCTTTAACAGAACTTAACCAGTCACTGCAACGGCAAACGAGCCTTTTGAAAAATGTAATCGGTAAGTCTTCACTCATGTTTTTTTTTTATTCAGTGGTGTTACTTTTAATATAAAAAACCAGGTATTATCTTTTTTATTTACATTTAAACACGTATTGTTCTTTAAAAAAATCGGCTGCCTACTTGCCTCAGAAAACAACAATAACATTTTATACATTAATTATCAACAAGTGGACCTTAGTTCTAGAAATTCCACCAGAATATTTTAAAAATTGAAATTCAGGCATCTCTAAACATATTTTTATTATGTCAAATATTAATAAGGGAAATTTTGTTCACCCTTTAGGAAAAAAAGATGTCTTGTATTTAGAAGCACAGTAAAGGAAGCTATTATAATAATGAAGTAAAAGAGAGGAATGATTTTATAAGCATAATTCTTTATATCCGTTAGGTTCGCAATATATTTTAAAGTCAGTGGGAATGAAAATCACTTCGCTGTAAGCGTCAATTCATTATAAGTGTTTTTGCTATAAGCGTGTTTTACCGTTAAACTTTCTGAGAGCTTTCTTGTAGAGTCTCCACACTCATGGTCCTCGAATGGAAAATCGATTTACATATTATTTCTGAGCAGAAGAACTTGGATAGAGTCTCAGGTAATTTAAGCAGGATATTCAAAGTACTGGTATAATTGTTTGATATGGATTTTATAACACGAGTGGTAGAGGACTATTTAAAATATATTAACGAGTGCGAAAAAATCCCATCTCACACAGAAAATAATATAAATGATTTGAATTGTCTATAAAATAGTCAACATTTTCATATTACGAAAAATACGTCAAATGATTTTGGCCTCCGATTGTAGAAAAGAGATTAAATGATTATGAATAATAATTACATTTTGTATTTTATTTTATTTTATTTTATTTTTATTTTTATTTTTATTTTTTTGGTAGGTTTGGTGTTCTGATATTGGGGGAAAATTAGCAGAAATTGAAACAGAAGAGGAGAACACATTTATAGTGAACAACACTTTGAGTGAGGCTAGCACAATTGGAGGTACAATTTTTACATTGTAAATCAAACACAATTTTGATGACTAATTTTAAAGCTAGCTAGAACCAATGTATTTATCCATAATACATAATGTCCATTATTGTATGAGTTATTTTGGCGGATGTGTTTTATACCAATTGTAGGGCCTTTGTTTTTATACTTAATTTGACTACGAAATGTTCCGTCTACCATACATAACAAATTTTGGTTGTAGTTTTCTCATCAACTATTCATTGCAGATGCTTAAAATTTTAACACACTCTTTGTTTAGGCATGTTGTACGGTGGGTATGAATCCGATGTCAACTTCCTGTTTATCCGCGTGTCTGTCTGTACCATACATAACAAATTTTGGTCGCAGTTTTCTCAGCAATTACTCATCGCAGATGCTTGAAAGTTTAGCTCACTCTTTGTTAAGGCATGTAATATGGTGGGATTCATTTTTGTATGATTTTAATGTCAACTTCCTGTTTATCCGTGTGTCTGTCCGTACCATAAATAACATTTTTGTTGCCGTTGAACTGGTGTATTCACATCTGAACAGAGCGGGGTATAATTAGTGAGCAATGGCTCACAGACTTCTTATTTGTATTTGTTTTTTTTTAGATTCATCACTTTTTCGTTATCAGTATTTTCACCTTCTTCATTAATTACCATTTTTTCTCCAACTCTTTTTTTTTTATTTTTTAATTGCTAAAAGAAATGAATCGTAACTACTACCACGTGCGGCAGATTAAATAAGGTCTACTTTGAAAAAAGTCTTTAGAGAGGAATTGCCATCTTTTTTTTAAAATTAATTTTCCAAGCCCTGATTCTTGTTGTGATGTAATTGTTTCATAGGCACTTCACTAATTACTATATATAAAGATAGGTCTTTTCTGTTAAAGACAACGCGCTTCATAAATATCAAAAATTCAAAATTACCGGGTGTTTTTTTTTTTTTTATCAAATCCACAAAAACAATAGAATTTCGAATAACTCAGCTTTAACTTAATTCCACGTAACTATATAATTATCTTAACAATGGCGACTATGAAAAAGAGAGGTAGCCCAGCGGACGCAAGCAGTTTGACAAATTAAGATAGAAAAGTGTGGAAGAGAAGGTATATGTAGAAAAAAGTAAGAAGAAAATCATGTTGCTTTAACAACATTGTGTATACAAATACCCTTTCTTTCATCGTGCCATTAATGCTGTATTTTCCGGCAGTCACCATACAAAACTGTACGTGTGGCGGATCCTATTAAAATTCAAGCCAATTTAACTATAGAGACGTGAGATGTGAAGTTATCAGAGTTGAAAATTGATGAAAATTTAATTCTATTGTATAATAAGTTTATCTGCACACAATTTCGTATTATTATTTTTAGCCAAGATGCGTCATATATCTCCTTAAAATTAGAAGTGATAGCTTAGCATATTCTTTTTTCAGCGTTATCTTTTCATTGTTTGATTGAAGGATATTTTATATACATAGAAGATTTTACATATGCCTTAAAATTTTGAAAACCTGAAGGAATGGTTTTAAAGAACAGAATAATTTATCCATCAGGGTATTTTGTATAGCCGAATTTATATTTATAATACATGATATACATTTTGTAATTAGAAGTATGTGTAAAAGTGTTAAATTTATTTTATCTGTTGCTCAATACAGTGAAACTCGGTTAAAGGGGCTATCAGTGTACCTCGTTGTATCCATAATCCATAATCTCATCCGTGTAATAAATTCATGTAAGTTTATAGACAAATCTTCGACAAACTATGACCACAGAATATGTCCAGGGAAGTATTAAATACAAAACCTACCTTGGAGTACTAAATCTTTTTGATAAATTGAATTTCAAATATGAATGTTTACAAAATGTTTACAAAATATTGCCAGTTCAATATTTTGAATGTTGATATCATAAAAATTCATTATCAAAAATATTATTATCTTTATTTTTAACCTCAGTTTTCTAAATCCATAAATTTGTTATATCCCAATTCGTTCTATAAGGAATTAATTAAAACTTCGCCGGGAATAAAATAAACTTCGCTATATCCGTAAATTGGCTATATCTGTGTTTGTGCCAAAGAGCTCGAGTTTAACTGTAAAAACATCTTTTAAAAAATGAAACCCTAATTAAGAAAACATATTTTTTTACTTTTTTTTTTTGCTTCTTGACATTTCCAGCTAGTGTATGGGTAGGAGGAACAGATGAGGAAAGAGAGGGTGTTTGGAAATGGGCGTCTACAAATGCAAATATAACATTTACCAATTGGAGTCCAGATGAGCCAAACAATATACTCGATCACGAGCATTGTCTGGAATTGGCAGGGATGGAAGCATGGTCATGGAATGATAATTATTGTAAAAACAAAAGAAGATTTCTATGTGAAATATTGCAGAGTTAATCAATTTTCGCTTCTCCCTTTTTTTTTAAGAAATATTTATCGTCATCATTGTTTTACTGCATTTGTTTGGTTTATATTTATGTCACGTATTCTATTTTTTTTTTCTTCCATTGAAGTTCACTTAGTACGAACAAACAAAAATCTTGAAAGTGAATACTAGATGAATGTTAATACAAGCAAAATAAACATGTTTAATCATGTAAAGTTTAATGGTTAATTTTCATTCACGATTTCTCCCCAGTGTTCTTCAAAGTAATGAATATCGTCATAGTATTAGATTTATAAGGGGAATTGCTAAGCATGAGAGCATCATAGAAAATTTCTTATATAATTATGTAATTGATAAAGGGAAAAATCCTTCTTTTTAATTTCATGTCCTCTTCCTCGCTTTTGGTATGAGTTCCGTGACCCTTTACAAAATTGCGAAATTTATAACTCCTGAGTTTATTGTTCCAAGTATCAGCCTGTGGCTTAATTAATAATACATGTATATTGAAAATCCATATTATATCTTGTAAAATTTCTCTTTTTTTTTTTCTTTTTCTGTTTTAATTCTATATTTCAGTTTATTAATCTTTGCAAAATAAAAAAAATATGACACATTTTATATTAAATATTTGTAACCTTATAACAAAGGTAGAGCAAGTGAAAGTACTATTTAAGAGAGACAGAGGGAGATAAAAAGTACTCATTTATAGTATAGGGGGAAACTGTGGCCATGATTGTGCGAATCCTTTACATAATTGTGAAATTTATGACCCCTGTGTCCATGGGCCTAAGGGTGGAGGTTAGTTCTGCACGTGTGGAAAGTTGAAAAGGACATTTTACAAAAACAAATCTTAAAACTTACGGAAAGTTGAAAAGGACATTTTACAAAAAGAATATCATAAAACTTATTCGCAAATGCGTTTTCTGCCTGAAGTCCTGAATAAATTAAACAATTTAAGAAATATTTCTTCTGTACTTTTGAAATTCCCAGAATTAATTATTCCTGTAGTATAAAATGCGGTGCTTTCTAGAGGGAGGTTAAGGATAGCAATACATAGTGAATTTCAAATATTCACCTGTTGTTCGTTTAAGAAAAAGCATATGAGATTGTGATTAAATTAAGTGTTGTTGATTTGCAGCGAAAATTAATAATATATTGCTTTTTAAACCGAGCGATTTATGTTCACTTAAATGTCTTTATTTTCAAAAATATGTTCTGACATTTCATCATTAAAGTCTTATTATCTATTTCTAAATTGTTAATACTATTATGAATTATTGAATCATAAATTATTGATCTTATTTCCCAAAATCATCAGCACAGAGATTTAATTCTACTTCTAAGTCAGGTATTCTTACATAAAACGCGTATAAATTTCTTTTCTTTTCACAAAGGAAATTAAGGTTCACAAACCTTCTGTCATTCATTTAAAACGTTGCCTTAACTTTTATGAAATAAATGTATCTTATTAGTAAAATACAAACCTTTTATACCATAGCTTGCGAGGCAAAATTTATCAAAAAGACATTTCAACTTAACATACATATCTATAAGGGAATAATAGACATTTATGTCATTAAGAGTTATCACTCTTATCGAGTATCAATGAACCTTAAGGCGTATATGAAGGGGAACACAAAACATTAAATCGTGTACGTTTTCATTACCTAGCTCACAGCAGTTAATTAAAACATCATGCCAAATAGTTTGTTTGCTTTTGTGTTCTTTTTTCTGTTTTTATTTTAAACAAATTATTCATAAAATGCATCAAAATTAGCCATGACGAATACTAAAGTACATGTATGTGTTTTTAAAAGAAGAGCTCGAGGATATTGAAGAAAATCCGTATCTTTGTACTTTAACAATACGTTAATATTACGTTGTATACATGTATTTAATTATTTTTGTGTACTTTTAACATAGCAATATAACAACACATTTCATAAAACTAATCGATCATTCTATATTTTGTCTAAAAATAAACAATTCCTATATATCATTGTTAAAAGTTTGATAGCTTTATTACATTCAAAGAAAAGTAGACATAAAACATGAAAATTTCTTATGTGTTTTAAAGTCTTCTCTGTTTCATTTAATTCTTTCTTATATCAAGATATAAGTTTCTCTTACTGATTACTATAATTTTGCGGTTTTTATAGGATGATGATTAGCAAAACAGAAATCATTTCGTTTTGTTTAATTTTGTGTGATGGGTGAAAAATGAGATTAACATTCTATTAAAGAGTAACAAAAATGGCCGAGCTATATATTTATGTTTATAAGAATATACTGAATTTCCAACGAAACATCTTAAATTTTTGTGCATATGTACTAAATCCTGACATTAAAGTACATATCGATATTTATACGTAACAAGAACATCAAAAGTGCATGTGATAACAGGAGTTTAGAAACGGGTCACTATTATTCGGGGAAATTCATTGTACTTTTATGAAAGGTATATTTTTTAATTAAAGATTCTAATATTTCGAAAGTCCAATTTAATAGCATCCCCGCAATATATAAAGGTAATGTAGACTCGGTGAAATACACCACAGATACACAAAGTACGGTAAGTATGTTATTTTATTTTGTTGAGCATAATAATGATAAATATCAGAGATTTACTATGATAAATATCCTTAAGATTTTCGGCATTTTTTTTAAAAATCTATGATTAAATATATGTGACCAGATTTCACTTCATTTTCAATTTTTATCTGTTAGGGAAATTTTCACTTCATATTCATTTTATCTGCGGTATTTTGAGTTATCAAAAAAAAAAAAATTCCTAGTGTAAAAAAAAATCGTCAAGTTTGCAAATTTAATTACATATTTTTTTTTTAATTAAAAAAAATTGCTTATTATATATATTAATTTTTTCATTTAAAAAAAACGGTCACTAGACTTGTAAAATAATGAAAGTAAATTTTATTTTAAAAATGATATTCATCATATCTAAATGCTAAATGCTAATTTAAATGTAAACATTGAGCCATCCTTAACAATTACCAGTAAATAGTTATTCTACTAGTAGGCGGCTGAAAACTCGTTGTTCCTTTTGCTATTTCAAACCACTTTCCCCGACAAATGTCAAGAATTTGTTTGTGTGTGTGTGTAAATTTTAAACTCTCAATAGCTTTCCAAAGCTTTTTCCTAATCTTAAGTTCGAAAGTTACTTGGGCATTAAACCACTGAGAATATAAAGGCACAAATAAGCCTCTTTTATATTACATCCCTTCTGTGCTGCTCAGTTTCAATTTTTAACGCTATATACCTCTGTTATTCATCATATCAGTAAATGTATACGCTACTGGGAAAAATGACCTTTACCGACACTGTATGATTATACATCTTCGTAACTTTGTATCCAGACTTTTACTTATCTTCAGTTCAAAAGAGTGAAAAACAATGGATTCAGTGAAATTCTATAGTAGTGTTCACATGCAATTTTATAGCAGTAGACAATAAAAAAAAAATAAATGTTATTAGATAAAATTAAATATTTAACAATTAGCTAAAAACAAATTCTTATGTACCACCAGATTATTCATGAATGTTTCAGGAAACATTCATTTATAAAAAAAAAATGCATAACGAAAAGGTGAGATTAATTAACTTTTAATAAACTATTATAATTAATTACACATAATAATTAGTTGTTTAATTAATGAAGATAAATAATTTGAAAAATAGAAGGAGTGGACTCATGATATTCTTCATTAACACAATTAAATATAAAATTACATCCAAAAATTAGGAGCTGGTGCTTTAATTATTAATTCTAAAAAGTCTGAGTCAAGGGAAAATACAATGAAGAAAAATAAGTAAAATTTATTATTCAGATGCAACCATCTTGTAACTATGAAATTCATTTTTTTAAAGAAAAACAAACGAATAGCAGAGACATCTGTGAAAACTCCCATAATATAACCCTTGATAATCTTTATTGGAAAGACTGCAGTTTTTCGACGATCATCTTTCATTGAAATACTTTTGATGAATTCTGTCCAGTAATTGTGCAAAAGGCAGTAAGTTAGCGAATGCCTGGACTTCATATAGAAATAAAGTTTTTTGACCTTAATTCAAATTATACAACCAGTAAAAGACATAAAATAATATTTAAAATTGCGTGCATCACTGTTTCTGAATTCTTTCATTGAGACAACACAATCATCTACAAACATTTTTGTACCTATTACTTATTCTAATACATAAACTCAATAATAAGCATGTGAACGTCTGTTGGTGTGCGAGAAACAAGATTTGTTTACCAAAGAAGTCTTGTTTAGAAACAGCGTCATCATCAGTTCACAATGACCAGCCTTTATTGCAGACCACCAGCGAATAAATGGCAGCTTACAATTGAACTCCACTTCGGCTTTCAAACTTAAATTAGTGTCATTTTCTGAGGAAGATCACGATCATTAGAAATTCCTGTTCACATGCATAAAAACTGTTTGTATGGGGGTTTTTTAATGTTCCTTCCGAGAATTTTTCACTCATTAGCCGTACGGAGATTCCACCACTTGCAAACTAGCTCTTAGAAACTGCATGTTTTAGACGTATACTCTGCACTCAGGACAGAATCTTTTTGATCCAGCACCTACAGCGGCACAAGACCTCGGTTTTTACGGTCGCATCCGAAGGACCGGTCTCCACGTCAAGCAGTGGGATTCGAACCCGCGACGTAAGGATCAGCTCCTTACTCCGTAATTTAGAGCAAACGCTCTTTAGGTTTAGTGTTAAAGTGTTAGTCACGCAGGCGACTTAAATGTTTGAAAAAATGTTATAAGATACCGAAAATAGAAGCTTATTTTTTTTTTAATAATGGATAAAGCCAAGTGAGGGAGATACTTATGCCTCTTCGGCCATACAACTCATATGATCTCATATTTAAATCTCTGTTTCACTTTTACAAAAGAAATTATTTTAGAAAGTGGGACTAAGATCCAAAAAGTAAGTTCAGATACATGTTAGTTTGATCATCCTTGGACCAGGTTATAACATGTAACCAAAAAGCAGATGAAAAAAGTCCCACCGACTTATCCTCAATATGACTTATGATACAGAAAGCAGTTAAGCCACTTCTTTAACATAAGGCTACGTTTTTCAATGCTTTTTAAATTTTTGGTAAAATTATTGAGATTACGTTTATTCTCTTTGATAGTAAATGTTAATGTATATATTAGCTTGTTGTAAGATTTCTAGATTTTATTACGCTTTTTTCACCTCTTTTTTTTTCTAGAAAAGCTGTTCGTGAATAAGATTACGGAACCTTTGCATTAAAAATGAAAATCTTCTACGCATTCGTTCTGCTTTTTGCAATATTTAAGCTCATTGACGCTTATGAGGAGTATCGCAGAGTTTGTCTGAACAACGAAGTTGATGTCGGAATTCGAAAGACACCATGGGAAAATTTTGCTACACATACTTGTATCTCTGGACCTCTAACTCGGACATGTGTAATCGTCGGTGAGCAAAAGGAAGAGAAGTACAAAAGTCATAAAGAAAAATGTAGTATCATTTGAAAATTTCATTTTATCATTCCTGTTTTCACTCCTGTAATATTTTTCTTTAACGCTAATTTAGCGATATTACTAGTATTAAAAAATGTATGCAATTTGAGCATACCAAATTTTGACAGAAGTGGTCTTTAAACGTGATTTTGTAGAGATATAAGTTCGTTTTTCATAATATTTTAAAGTCTCCTTTGTCTAATTTGCATTTTAATTATCAATGAAATTTAAATCTATATAAAACTTATAAGTTACCCAAGATTCTACGTTTAAGGCATATTACCTCTTATATTATTCAAATTGCTTGGCATATAATATTCCACCTACATAAGCGTGTTTCTATAGATGCCAGAAATGGGTTTACCTGTACAGGCGAACGTCATTTACAGGGAGGCCTGCCGTATCAAAAAAGTTTATGTTGCGACCGGAAATGTAAGTTTTTTAAAGAGTTGCAGAGTAAAAAGTTTTAAATCTCATGAATATTATAATTAGGAGATGAATAATACTTAAAATTAATGTTCTTCGGCAAATAAGTACTGTAAAATAATTAATGTCACGTTCTGGAACAACTACACAGGATAAAAGTTAAAAAGGCAACTATTGCATATTTAATTTATTAATAATTATGAAGACTTCATGTAGGTACATATATAATTATGATATTTTCCTACATTTTAGTTCATCGACTCGTGCTATGTAGGATTTCGCAGCTATTTTCTTTTCGTGATGGTTTCAATATACAGCTTGGTACAAAAGTGATAAAAAGTGTCATACCGTAAGTTTTCTTTTATCATAGAATGAAATTACAGAATACGTTTGTTACATTTTTCTATTTATCTATATTACTTTGAAAGTACTTGAATTCAAAATTTGTTTCTATATCTTTTTTTAAATTCCCCTCTAAGTGAGAAGGGCCTTTGACATTAAACTAGATTTTTTTGCTTCATTTATTACGATATAAAAAAAATGAAATTTAGTGAACTTTAAAAATTTAGAAAGTGATACTATATGTACCATAGTTTGTTTAAAAAAAAAACATTATAATCTATAACTTTTACCATTATCCCACTTATGGTAGCCATTACTCCTCAAATGTTTTATTATTATTTTTTCAGAAACCCAATTCCAAGTGACCAAACAGCATTTCGAGTTGAAATCTGCAACCTTCTCCAAACTAGATATGGAGCCTACTAATGTGAAATTTTCTATAGATGAAAGTACCTGTATGATATACATGTACCCTTATTTTTCATTGGACAGAAATTATTTTTATCATATACATGTATATTTCTTTAAAAATGTAATTTCATCTTAAAATAAAAAATAATAAAGAAATATTGTCATATATTTTTCTCTAAAAATTGCATTTTGGTCAATTCCTTATTAATACCTTTCTATTATCCTCACTATAAGCTTCTAATGTACCTTTCGGAAAGAAATAAAATTGACAGCAATGAAAAAAAAACCCTTTGTTTTGTTCTTCGTTTTCAAAGATAAATAGTTACATTTTTTTAATGGAAAAATAGGGCGTTCTTTATTCCATCGTCGTTGACTCTCCCTATGCTCTCCCGAAAAATACGATTTAAAATTAAAGCGTGTAATTGTGAAATTTACTGTAGATTCCTAAATATACGCGAGGAATTAATTATCGCGTAATAACGCGAGAAGCATCTCTTGCGAAATAAAATTTCTCGTTTTTATTTTTATTGTGCTGAAATCCATGTAAAATCAGTTGATCAACCATCCATTCGCGAATTATTGTTCTCGCGATTTGACGTTAAAGCACCATTTCGCGATATTAAGTACCCTCGTAAAATAAGGAATGTACAGTAATTAAAAAAAACAACTGTCAAAAAGCCATTTCCTTGGGTGAATAGAAGGTAATATAAAGAAAAAGGTCCTAGTTTTCCAGCAGCTTGTTAGTAATGTTAATATGTTGATTAACCTTATAACCGCTTCATGTTGATGTCTGCTGAATCCTCTTTGAAATGAAAACAAACGCCTTGGTACAGAGCAACCAGAAAATTTAAATCAAGGAATAAAAAATATTGATATCTTGATAATGTCTTAGAGGTCCGTGTTTGCTCTGCTCCTATTTTGTAATGTTTAATGGACTTCTGAGCTCGAATACTGTTCGTTATCTACAAATATTTCATGTATATTTGTACATGTAAAAATAAAATGCAATTATTTTATAGCTGTCTAACTATGGTCATTGTCACCCCCTATTGAGGATTACTAGGAGGTTCTGTATGAGACTTTAAGTGAATTTAAAAAACATTCTAACGTATTCATTTTTCAAAGAAAAACGGAGATTCCCATTGTGTACTTTATAGAAAAAAAAATTCTCATGTCAATGTCTTATCTCAAATGTATATTTCATTTTTGTGTACTTTTCAAATGCAGGTAAACGTAAGATTTCATAAAACTCTTTGATCATTATCTAAAAATAAAGCTTTATAGGTAAACAAACCATGATTTGTGAGGTGTTTTATGACTCGAGAAAAAGCTCCAACTGGTGTTGTAAAATAATCTGCAGAGAGGCCTGCTATAGGTTTAATATAATGTAACTTTTTGTTGTCATAGAAAATAAAGATAAAAAATATTTTCACCCAAATTTATCCTACCATATATTTTATTAAAAAAACACAGTCGTTTCAATTTTCAGAGTGGTAATTTTATGGGTACTTTTGGCACAAAAATGTCACTACATAGAAAATTCTGATGAATTATACAGTGTACGTATTCAATGTTCATACCATCTTTGTCCCAGAAATGTAGATAAACAATTGAATTCAAAATTTATCTCCCCTGTATTTCAAAAGAATGTCCTGCATACAGCATTATCATTATAATACCACGATCCATGTTATTAATATCACGAATAAAATTATTTAAGGACAAAAAAGGCTTTCTGAACTAACATTTGTGCATTACCTATCTTACATGAATAATTTGCGAGAATGACATCGCCATTGCTGAATGAATTACCATAATTTTCGAAAGGGTAATATCCTAATCAACCAAAATAATTTGATAAATCAGAACGGATTTTATTATTTATTATGATAACACGTGTCTTTTAGTCTATTGGACACGTTTTTCTGTCTTAAAGAAGATAAAAAAAACTTTCCAGTAGCAATGGGATTGACAAAAAACAAACAAACAGAAATGTGTACAAAACAAAACGACTCTCAATCAAAATTTGATGCCAAAATGTCTGTTTGAAACAATGTATGTAACTTTTCAAAAAAAGTTTTTTTTTTAATAATATTATCATCTTATCTTTAACTGGGTATAAATCTCATTTAAAGTTAAAAAAAATATCCGACTTTATGATTACTTTTCAAATGGTTATAAGGAACATTGGAAAGAGAAAACCGCAGGTACTATTATCTAACTGACCATAAATTCTCTCTCTCTCTCTCTCTCTCTCTCTCTCTCTCTCTCTCTCTCTCGTTTATCACACAAAATCTGAATTTACCATTGTCCCATATACGCCATTAATAAAGAAACAAACGCTAAATCGCATGCTGATAAGAGATATAACTAGTGAAACGAAGGAATCATATCTAACAATTTCCTGTAAATTTCTTTAGAACATTTTACAGGCACTGGATTGTATTGTTAAAATTGAAATGGCAAAAACTAGGCAGTAAATATACATTTTATTTTTCCGTAACCAATAACCAATACAAAATATCAAGTATAAAATGTCCGAATTAAACAGAAAAAAATTCATTTAAAAAAAATAATATATAACATTCAGTAAATAGTGAAATCAGCCGACTTGTATGTGTTCAGGATAATAATGTCGTATTCTACGGAGGAAACATAACTCAACGGCAAACGTTGTTCGATCTCGAGGTGTGGGGGAACTGCAAAAAAAAAGAACTTAAGTAGAATTTTTAAAATAAATATCAATATTTATTACAACTAAATTTATTATTGGTCGACAGTAATGATACTATATTTATTACAGTTATTCATATTTCCTTTTTTGAAAATTGGAGTAATGATACCTTCTGACCAGCTATTGGGAAAAACGACTGATGTAAAACAATGTTAAATAAATCCACAAGATATATAATGAGAATATCATTATACTCAATAAAATATTCATTTAATAGATTGTCAATTCCCGGAAATTTTTCTTTCTTCAAACGTTTGATAACACGAGTTATCTCCTCTGCGGTTATTGGACTGTTCAATTCAGGATATGCAGAATTGTCTTTTTCTGAGGACACCGAGTCACTACTGGCATGCATTGAATGTTGATTTGAGGACAGTTCTTTAAAGTGGTTATAAAATTCCGAGAGATCCGGTCCATGTGACACGCTTCCTTTCTTTTTGAGGAAAATGCGATAGAATTCTTTTGGATTTTTCTTCCTTATGTATTCCATTTGATCTCCTTGGTAACGGAAATATTCTCTTTTAACTTTTCTTTCATACCTTTTATAATTTCTCTTAGAGGTGACCAGTAAATTTCTGTAAAAATGAGTCCGTGAGCTATTAAACACATTTAAATTTCTTAAGTAAGTTTTACGTTACTCCGTGCATTTGACATCAAACCAAGGTTTATTGTCTATGTGTTTTCTTCTTTTGATTTGGTTGGAGTTATTATTAATTATAATTTCCTTACCACAATGCGGGAGAAAAATATCGTTAAGTACCTGCGTAAATGTCTCCATACAGTTATTGACCCCTTCTTTTTTTATTTCTACATCATCTTAAGCGTCCGCAAGATGTTGTAAATGAATACATAGTTCAGTTTTAATTTCATTATATAACAAGTCATCCCATTTCGTTCTAACAAAGCGTGTATTTACATTACTTCTCTTATCATTCAGCACGATAGATTTATTGACACAAATTTGAAAATGCAGTGGAGCGTGGTCAGACCATTCATTAAAATCTTCAACATGAAAATAATCAACTACATGAAAAAAAATTTCAGATACAATTGTAAAGTCATTAACACTCACTCCAAGGTGATTTAAAAATGTATATCTACCATCCTTATCTCCAAATGTACAACCATTACATACTCGTGTACAGGTTGAACGACAGAGTTCTAACAATTTCCTTCCAAAACTATTTACAACTACATCTTGTGTCTTTCCCTCTGGTAATGGAACATCGCAATTATAATTTATAACAGGTGAAATAAATTTATTCAGCTCTGTACCCATCGAATCATATTCTATAAGATCTAATGAGGTTCCTATACGTGAATTAAAATCACCACTTAGTATAACACATCCCTTTTCTTTGTACATTGATATGTCCTCATTTAGAGTAGTAAATAAATCAATATCATTTTTTTTGTAAAAAACACTATTTTCATGCGGTATGTAAACAAATCCAATATAAAGGTCGGTATTTTGATCATTAATACCGTTTTGCAGTTTCACCTATAAAATGGATTCATGTTCAATACTCTCCACCACCAAATTATCATGTAATTCTTTCTTGTAAATAAGAATAAAACCTCCACCTTTACAAGATTTTCTAGGAAAACATTTGTGAAAAAAATCTTTCATTAATAAGACTGTCATCAATTTCAGTATTTACATCAAGCCAACACTATGATAAAAAGATAATATCATATGTGTCAATAAATGATATGAATTCTGGGTCTCTAATTTTATTATAAATCTGTCGATTAACATTCCAGGAACATACTTTGAGTTTATCCCCGACGTTTTCCTATTTGGTGGTATTGGTATCAAGTGTTGGGCGATAAAGCCTATTGTCGATGTAAAGCATGTTGTACACCAGTCTAACTCTATGTCCTTCCTCGCGTTTTTCCTTCATGATTTTGATCAATTCTTTTCTTTCCGCGATAATTTCATTCGGGTATTGTTCATTGATGTAATAATTTGTACCTCTGAGGTTTTTTGACATCCCCTTTACCTATTGTCTTTGTTGGTATTCATTGAATTTCGACCCTTGGCGTTTGACCTCCAGCTATTCTGTGCACCCTGTCAAATTTCAAGCTGTTGACCTGTGCCTCGCTCATTGACAGACTGTTCTTGAGAAAATCACGAAGAATTTTTTCAGTATCTTTGGCATTTCATTTTCTGATTCTGGGATATTTGAAAAAAGCAAATTATCCCTCATTGAACGTGACTTTAGTTAGATCCACTAGTTCATCCTTTAGTTTCTTATTATCTTCTTCAAGTTTACTTAACTTCTCTTCTAACTTACCCAGTCCAAACTCCATACCATCTGACCTTTCTTGTAATTCTCGAATGAATTTGTTGTTCTCCTC